ATTTGTAATTTATTTTTATTTCAGAGTCAGAAACCCTTATTAGATCACTACAAATTTTAATCCCTAAGCAAGTCTAAGGACATTCTGCATAATTCTGTTTCAGATGAAAGAAGCAGGAAAACAGGAAGTAGCTGCAGAAAGTATCGGCTCTGGGCAGTTACTCACGGAGTAACTACCTCTTGAGATCAAGTGCTCCCTTGAAGCTCTAGGGAATTAGCCATTTCCTTTTGCAATGGGTCCCGTTCATAAATAGAATATCAGCTGATTTGTTTTTTGCCTTTATCGTTACCATACTGGTGAGGGCAACAGGTATTCAGAACTTATTAATGTAGCACACTAATTAAAAAAAAAAAGGAATCCACAGGTCAGAAGGGAGGTACGACTTATTTGGAGAGGTGATTATTACTTAAATATGTCTTTTTACACCTGTCTATAACTAGGTCCTGAAAAGATTGAGACTGATCTACTGGAAATTTTGTCTTAACTCGCTACCCTATCTCCATCTGAAAGTGGCTTAGTTACACCACTAACTCCTTCGGGTTTCTGTTTTGAAAGGTCTCAGACTGACAGAGATCCTCGTCAGCTGCTACTTTAAGTCTCTTCAAAGTCTTCCCATCCTCCATGGTCCAGTGACACATAACCTTCAAAATTTCACCTCTTCCTGGCACCAAAACTCCCTATCTGCTCCAGTAGTATATGACTTGTCCAGAAACAATTCAATCAAATAAAGTATTTTCAAGATTTTTTTTTCATGAAATCAGTTCCACACAAAAGTGAAGTTTCAGTGATAAATGGACTCTTAAAAATACTGGCAATCGTGTATTATTTGCCACCTTTGTGTGCATTTTAAGTATTTTTGTCAATTTTTAACAAAAATTAATGTTTTTAATTTGTTGCTTTTAAGGGAGTTTTTTTTTTATACTTACATATGGCAAAAACTTAGAGCAATATAAATGTCCACCAAAACGTAGTTTAGTCAAATTGATTATTGTTAAATTGTACTGAAGCACATATGCTATGTTCTCATTTTACCAAAAAAAAATAATATCTAAGAATATACAGAAATAATTTACAAGTATATATCATATAGAAAATATTTAGCAAGGTATTAATAATACTGATATTTGAATGGGTAAGATTATGCTCTTTTTTGTGCTTTCTCTGTATGTTTTTCCTGCAGAAATAATTCTTTGCCTTTTTGTGTGTCTGTGTGTCTTTTTTGAGACATGGTTTTCTATGCAGTTCAAGCTGGTTTTGAACTCACTTTGTAACCCAGGTTGGCCTCAAGGTCATAGCACCCCTCCAGCCTCAGCCTCCTAAGCTCTGAGGTTACAGGCATGTGCCACCACACCTGGCTCTCTTCACCTTTGTTGTAAGGAAAAAGTAGTAGAAGTTAATGAAGAAAGTAGTTATCTTTTAATGTGCTGAGACTTACGGGAAATTTTAATCTTAACAGTATGCTTTATTCATCAATAATTATGTGAAGCAGATACATGAATGACATTTTATAAACATGAAAATAGAAACTTAGAGACATTAAATAGTATTCAAGATGATACTGTGCCTGGACCTAAGTAAGCTTCATATATGAACAAAGACTGGGCAAGGTTTTAAAAAGCCATTCTACAATCTGCTACTGGTTAATATTTCAGCAATATTTTTAACCATTACAAACAAAATAAGACAAAAATAAATTACTAGACAATTAGTTCATAATATAAACAAGCAAAATAAGAAAATTAATGACCATTTTTGAAGTCAGAAATATTTAAAACCATATGAGAGACTGTTTACTTTTTTAGTTTGTTTCATAGTACTGGGAATTCAAGAGTTTATTTCATTGTACAGTGAAATAAGCAACTATAAAGAGGAAAAATAAGTAACTGGAGACATATATTCTTCCGCAATAAAAAATGTTAAGCAAACAGTTGTTTTTAAAAGTAGTTACTTTCGCAGTATGTCTCTAATGTCCCCTGGCTATCCCAGGTTCATCTTCAGCATTTTGACCACTTGGATTATTACTCACCTTTCACACATGGTCAGGAATTTCTTGAATCTTGTTCTCATCTATACTCAGGATTTCTCCTTTGACGGCTTAGTGTAGCTCTTGTTGATTCTGACTCTCTTCTCCCAACAGACTTACACGTCTACTCTGAGGACAATTTAAAGTCAACTGCACTTTTTCTCCTACACTCAATACATTCAACAATTAACAAAACAAGGGCCTGGTTGATCATAAAAGGTCTGGTCATGCACAACAAAATGTCTCCTGGTGGGACAATCACTTTGTGCACAGTCTAAAAGGTCTCTGATCTCCTTGAGGACAAGCACCATCTGGTATTTATGTTACTGCAACTATTGTCTGTCTTAGAACTGAACACAACATATGGAGCAATGGTCAAGTATATATACCTCTGCCTTGGTTCTAGAATGTTCAGGAAAATTCTTATAACATAATAGCAGATTAATGCACTAAAATAGTGATCTGGCTCCATACCTGATTTCTCTGAGGCTCTAGCTGTCTGTGGGAAAAAGCTTGATACTTGTTTACCATTAATGTTCCATATGTGCAAACATTTCTGTTAAAGGTAAAAGAAATGGTGCCTAAGAGACAGATTTCACTAAAACACCCTGGGACTCTTACAGGGTTTCTGACAGGCTGGACCTGTTCTCTCCGGTTGGCCCATGTATAAAAGGAAGCAGTTTTAGCAACTTGGAGGATGATCAGTTTCCCATATACTGTCCTCCTGATCAGCCTAGAATATTTGTGTCACAGATAGCACAAGGTTATTTAAAAATCAAATTAGTGTAACACTGAGGCCTAAGCATGTCTCTGGTAGATACACTCTCTTTTGAACAGTTATTGGTGTCAGAAAAGATGCTATGTCCTCCTATCTGTAGAAAAAGTCACCAAACTTTAAAGTCAGATATCTGACTGTTTTACAAGTGTAGGGTAACCGTTCAGAGAGACTGTGAAAGACAGGACACCTCCATCTAGGGATCATACATTTTAGTTGAGTGACTTCAACTAAAAAATTACCTCAAAGTTGGTGGCTATAAGCAGTACAAATTTATTATGTCATCATTCTGTAGGCCAAAGTCTGATATGAGTCTCCCCTGTATTGAAAACAAGACATTTGCAGGGCTGTTCTTCTACTGGAGGCTCCACTAGCCTTCAGTATGAGTTCCTTAAATTTTTCTACCTCCTGCAGGCGTTAAAAGCTTTGAAGTCACCAGTGGTAGGGTCAAGCTCTCTTCACTGAAGTACTCCACCCCTGTCCTTTTCCATTTAAGGACGCTTGTGATTACATCATGCCCACAAGAACAATCCAGAAGTCTCTCCCTGGATCAAGACCAGCTGATTAAGCAACCTGAATTTCACCTGCAACCTAATTCCCCTTTGGTGTGCAACATAGCCACAGGCATGGGGATTAGGCTGTGGGTAGCTCTGAGGGGCAGACATTCTTCCGCCTTCTGCAGATGACTAAGCAGAAGATAATACATACATCCAGCAAGCAGCAGCATTCATAACATGGAAAGGAGAATTACTGTCCAGACAGGGCTGGCTGTAGGGGAGGTACAGAAAGAAACTCAGAGGTCCACTAAGTGTAAGTGGCTGACAAGGTCCAACAGAAATCTGCTAAAAGGACTGTGGCATGATAGCAGATTTTAAGTGGTTATATGTGAGTAGTTGGTATAAAGCCCCTCACTTCCCACAGGGTTCCTAGAGAGTGTAGACAGGACAGAGCTGACACTCTTTGTTAGTACTAAACAATTAATCTAAGGAATCTATGGACAAATTAGAAACTAAGCTTACCAGGAACACAGATAGTGGTATGATTTAGGCTACTGTTTTGTTCAGTAAACTCTACGTTCTCTATTACTTAAGAAAGTATAAGCTTGGCGAAATAACATGTAAGATTACTGAAATGACAGTGAATTTGTCTTTACTGGCTAATAAATCATGAACATTATCTTCAATAAATAATGTTCAGGATTGAATAACATAGTTTGGAGAAGGTTTTCAGTAATTACTTGTTAAACAAATGAATGAAGGATAGCAGAGTAGACAGGTTGTTTTTAATAAAATAATGATAAAATTATATTTCTAGGAGATCCAAATCATATTTCTTCCTCCAATTTAAATGAATCATTCCTTCAAAATTTATTTATTTTTTAAAAATTGTACTTCAAATGCTTTTATAATTACATGTTATTGGCATGAAGGTAAGAATTTTTTAAATCAATATTTTTATTAACTGCTTGATTTATGCAGTCACTTGGATAAGATCAGTTAAAATGCATATAGACTGTTGTAAAAATCATGGTTGATTCTACAACTCCATATAAATACATAAGTTCAATGTGATTGTGAATTTTAAGTAAAGATGAATCACATGATTATTTCAACACAACACATGATGTTATATCTTAGTTTCTTAAGGAAATTTTCTTAATTCAATAATAAGGGCAGATCATAGGTCTGGAAGAAGTCATTTTCTCCCCTTTTGGATAACAAGAAGCAGTAATTCATTTCATTGTAGACACTGAAATATTTAATAACTGTTAGTGCTGTCTGAATATTTTTCTTTTATTTTAAAGATAGTAAAATCCAATAAGACAAGACAGAACAAAGCCAATCAAGATAAAGCAGAAAAATTGGTACAGAACTTCAGAGCAGGATACCGGGAAAACATTAATAACTACCATAATATATCTTGTTATCTTCACAATAGTTGTCCATTTCATCAGGTATAGCAAAATCAAACCAAAGACAGAATACTATAAAAACTATCAAAACAGAATACTGAATAAAGCAAAACACTAGTCAGAACAAAGCAAAACAGTGAAAATAATATTGGCCTTCAAAGACAAGATAGAAGGAAATCCTCCATATTTGCTGTATTGCATACTATCATTCTCCTAAGAGATGCTCAGACCACTGACCCCAGGCCTGCATAATCAACCAAACAATAAAAGCATTTAGTTGCTTTATGTACCTTAGTTGCTATCAACTCCAGCTGTCCTCAACACCAGCCAGTTGCTAAATTGCAGGCTGGGGGAGTGAGATATGGATGGTGCTTGATTGTCAGGCTCACTGGAGGAGCTGTCTTTTTTTCTCTGGAACATGTGCAGCTTTTACAGCTCACCAGGAAGGCTTGCTAGTTGATTTCCTGGTTGGTTCCCCAAGTCCCAGCCTCGGATTTTTCTTTTAATTCAAGCCTGGCCCTTGCATCTTGTCACTGCTAATCTTTGTGCCAGAGAATCGGTCGCACCCTTAGTAGAAGGATTGTGAGCTGGCAAGTAAAAGACTGTTCTGCTATTCTATTTTCATGCAGGAAAGACTAAAGACTGGGGTCATTTGAAATGTCTGCCAAGTCACACAATCTTTCTAAGTTTCTTTCAAAGAAGAGACATTGATAGTAATCATTTATAGATTTCTTATAAGGAAAAATGATACAATGTACGTTCAGTGCTTAGCACAGTACCAGAACTGAACACATTTTCAGGGACAGTAAATTGCCTTTTCAAAATTGTTAATGTAGGGTGTGGAAGAAGACGAGAAGACTAGAAGGCAGACATTAGGGAGCAATGAAAAGACGTAGACTCAGGAAGGCTGTGTGTTGGTCATCGCTCAGGAGATATGTACCTGAACAGCTCTGAGTTCCTGGACAAAGCTTAGAATCAGCAAGAAATGAACCAAGGAAGAAAGAGTATGCCAACTACCAACAACAAATGCTGGAGAGGCTGTGGGGAAAAAGGAACTCTCCTGCACTGTTGGTGGACTGGTGCAACCATTGTGGAGGTCAGTCTGGAGATTTCTCAAAAAAGCTGGGATTGGAAGCTCCATTTGTTCCAGCTACACCACTTCTAGGCATATTCCCAGAAGAACTGAAAGCATTATACCACAGTGATATATGTGCATCCATGTTTATAGCAGCACAATTTGTAATAGATCTTGGAAACAACCTAAGTATCCATCAACTGAGGAACGGATAAAAAAGTTGTGGTATTTTCATACAATGGAGTACTACTCAGCTATAAAGAATGATCACATTGAGATATTTATCAATAAATGGGTGCAGCTTGAGACCATACTCATAAGTGAAATAAATCAAACTCACATGTATAAATACCGAATAGTTTTCCTAGTGTAAGAAGTGGTAATAATACATAAAAGTATGTGGCAAACATGATCCCCCATTGTATTACTTTAAAGCCTTATAATGTTTTCATTCATTAATTGGAATGGTTTTATTCTGGGTTGTTTGATTTTATTGTCTGTGATGATATGAGCAGTTATTTTGAAGAAAACAAGACAATATAATAGCTAGTGCTGATATAATATCATCTTGTTTTGAAGTCCCATGAAGCTTTTGTTCTTCTGTCTCCATCGGTTTATCATGTTGTATCTTATTGAATTTTATTATATGTGATAGTATAAACAAAAATTTTACAGACAAGGAGATAATATAGAAACCATTGTTCGTTTTCTATTAGTTGGTTCTAAATGCCCTGTAATACTTTCCTTCTCTTGAATGGCTTTACACTGTCATGTTGTGTCTGATGCTATAATATCCGAAGTTATACTCAAATATTTCAAGGAAAGAGACACTATTGTAGCTACTGTTATGTCGGGTTATCTTGTGGTGAAACACTATGTTGCTTAAATTGTTCTGTCCTGACCTGTGTTATTATGTTGTTATGTCCTCTTTTATCTTAATCTCCTTCTTTCTTTTAATTTTTTAAAAGAAAAAGTATACCAAGTCTCATACAGAGACTTGAGCTTTTACTAAGAGGAAATCAAGGCACTGTGTCCACTTAAAGCTCTTAAATAAATCAAGCCACAAAATACCAGGGACAGTAGTTACCTGGGGAATCTGCAACACCCCACAGAACAACAGATAGAGGTCAGGCAGTCGTTGAAGAACTTGTGATCTCAATAACATGTTCTGCAATATCGTACCTTTTCCCAAGAGAGGGGCCATCTGGGAAACCAGTGATGTTTAAATATCTTGTCTTCATTGTCCTCAGTTTGGTCTGGGAATCTAAATAAAACCCATTTTGCAGCTGGGCAGTCAAGACCAAAAGGAACTAACAATCTTGGGAAAATAAGACATCTCCAGGAGGTTGCAAAAGAACATAGAAAAGACAAACTATCCACTGGGACAAATGTCAGTTCCACTTGCTATAAGACAAGCATATACCAAGTCATGTGGAGCCTAGAGCGAAGCATGGCCAGCTCAGCTTCAGCAGAGACAGCAGAGGCCTGGAAGAGCATCAAACACCAGGGCCAGACTTTGTAAGATAAATCCATTGGAAGGTGAGTAAAGGGACAGTGTCATCTAAATCTGTTTTGTGAAATATCCTTGTATGTCACATGCATTGATAGATTTTTAAAATATATTGTTCAGTGTATAATGGTCAGAATAATTATGTGATCTACAAGCATATAGGTTACAATGTATAGAATATTTCAATGTCTTATTTAATTCTTATAACAGCATGGGAAGATAGTTCTTGTCATCCTTGATTTTGCAGATGAGGACAAAGTCTCAAAGGATGCATGCCCAGAGTTGCTGTGCTTTGACTGAGACCAGCTGCCTCAGTATTCATTCATATTCAGCAAACACATAGTGAGTTTTCTCTACTGCCAGGCACTCTTGTAAATGCTGAGAACACACAGATAATGCTCAAATGAATTCACAGGAAGGAGGGGGAAATAAATGTATAAACACATGATTAAATACAGTGAAGTTAAATCTACTATAAGGATATTCACGGGATTGTTACAGAGAGTATGCACAGAGGGAAGTTGGAATTGATGCTCAGAACAGGTGCCACTTGAATTCCATCTAGAAGGATGAGTAGGTGTTTAGAGGGTAAAAGAGAGAAAGGCTGTTCCAGGCATGACAACTGTACATGCAAAGCCATGAAAACATGAGCGAGCATCACAGAAGACCAAACTGGGAAAGGTTAATGGAGTATAGTGTCAGACTACAGAGAAAAGATACAGAAGCCAGATTGAAAGCAATATTTGTACTCTGTGCTGAGGAGTTTGAATTTTCATGCTGCAAGTAGCTGGGATCCACTGGAGGATGTTAATTGTGTGAGTGACAAGATCAGATTTGTTATTCAGAAAGCACACTCTGGCACAGTTCAGTGGGTGGAATAGAAAGTGGTTACCCTGGAGACAGGCAAGCCCATTAGGAAGCTATGACAATAATCCAGAAGAGAGAAAATGAGGATAGCTGTTAGAAGAAGGAACAGATTCAAAGACGTTTTAGAAGTGGAACTGATGGTCAGGGACAATTCATTGGGTATAAATGCTAACCAAAAGGAAGACTCACAGTGATGGCCAGGGTTCTGCCTTGGATTTCTAGGGGGACAGCAAATCATCAATCAAAATACCAAAGGAAAGAAGTTTAGGGAAGAATATCTTGCGTTCATATGGGACTTGTTGAATTTAAAGTATCTCTGCAACTTCTGGATGAAGAGATACACAGTTAATTTCTCATACTTAGCACTTGAAATAAAAGAATTACTATTTTTATTACCAAAGAAGCAGATTTAAGAGTTATTACTAAAGAAACAGTTTTAGGAGTAATTATCAAATAGTTTGATTTTGAAACTTCTGTATTCTCCAACACTACAAGATCTGGGTACCATTGCTTCTACCCAATTCATTTGCACCATGGCTGAAGTAAGTACTAGCACAAGCTTTGTTCCAAAGGACAAATTAGCATAGTGGCTCAGTAAACAATGTCTCTGAGCTTCTGGAAAGAAAGATGTTCAGTCACCATAAAGCCTAGAATTAATGAAAAGTCACAGAAATAATAGCTCCATTCTCTAGTTGCTTTGAACCCCAAATCACTTGTTGGCAACAAGGTAAGAATTTACAGAAACTGCTGAAAAGACTTTCTGGTAAATAGGGCAGCAGCAGAGTTTGTTTCAATATTACTTCTAAGCCATATATGTGGCTGCCTTTGAAACTGATGGTTCACATATTTGACCCGAATTCTTTTTTTTCTAATTGGAAAGTCAATTTTGATTTTGATTTTAAGATGTAATTTATTGAAAAAAATCTTCTGTAAGAATTAGTTGCTTATGTGGTATTTACCAGATCAAATTATAGGAATCAGATGATCCATCCTTCTATAATGATTGTAATTTGCATATATTTTAAGTAGAAGACAATTCTTGAAGGAAAATATTTTTACTTAATGCAGGCAAACATAAAAAATATAAACTTAAAAATACACAAATTAAAATTAATTTGTTGTCAGATGGGTTGGTGACAACCATAATGTTAGATCAGAGCATTAAAATTAAAGTTTGGCAAAAACAGTGTAAGATGATCATTTTTCCCCAAATTCCATCATCTTTTCCCATTTCATGTGTCCTAATTTGAGTCACAGTAGAAAGAATGGGGGATTCATGAGGATGAAGTTTGTCGCCCTCCTGAATATCAGACTTACATAATTAAGAAGGAAGGAAAACTATGAGAAATGCTTTGTGTGTTTTATCCTCCTACCCAGTTTTAACAATAATTCTTTTCTGGGGATTCAATAATTAGCAAATACAGAACACTTAAAAAAGTAGTAATAAAACTCTTATGCAGTAACTATTGCATAATAAATACTCTGCATCCCTTAAATGTTATTAATATTAATTATATATCTCTGTTTTTATCTGAAGAATCTCATATTTAGGAAAGTTACATAATAGCCCATAATGATACAGCTAGTTGGGCATGGGTCCAGGTGTGAAAGCCAGTTTTGCCTCAGTCAAGAGCTTCTTTCCTTCTTATTATTCTACAATGCCACTTAGTGATAAGTGATTTTAGTTCCTATTGAAAACATTATCTTATATTCTGAGGGACAGAGTACTAAAAAGGATATGAAAAACTAGCTTTCTGTCTTTTGAAGGTTGACCTCAATTAGTCTTACTTATGCCTTACTTTTCTCATTTAGAAAATAAGGATATTGGACCTGCATAGTGATGCATGTCTGTAAACCCAGCCTGCAGGATTGGGAGGCTGAGGCAGAAGGATTTGAAGTCAGCCTGAGCCACATAGTGAGTTCAAAAACAACCTGAACCACATAATGAGACCTTGTCTCAAAAACAGCAAAACCCCAAAAAAGCAAAAAAGAAAATTGAGGTATCTACTCTTCTTTGTCAGTATATTCTTAAAATAGTATAATTTAATATATTTCAGTTTCTATTGCATAACTTTCTGTATCTCAATAGGTCTTTA